AAAATCATCGCACGATGACGATCTTCTCTTCAAATTGAAGTCGAAAACCTCTACTTTAAGACAGTGTTCTTAGATTTTGTGTTTAATGCACCCTTGGCACTGTAACCCTTTAAATATGAGACTATGTTTGTCGTAGTGACCGACATTTCGTCAAGTTTGACGAAATGCACGGACTTCGTAGAATTTTTTTCGGGAACGTCGCTTACAGAAGAATATAGATTGATCTTTCCTCTTTAATTCAAAAAAAAGAAACTCAGCTGCGATTTTTTTTCGCGAAGTTACATCACTTTAAAGTAACCCTTGTCAATCTCATACGTCAGTCCCCTGGAAAAGGGTTCAAACTCGGCACATTACATGCGAAATCGACGATATCGGAAGCAAGGAAGTTCAAAGAAACAGAACGGAGTGTTTCCGAACATTTTCTAGACACTGGCGAAATTAGCTGACCATGTCTCGGAGGGAAAAACAGTCGCGACGTTAACGAATAGAACGCGGTCTCGTCGGCGGACCGTCGGTAACGGGATGTTCCGTAACGGAGAAACCGTGCCGGCGCTCCGAGTTTCCGCAGCGTCGCGCGTTTAATACACCGGAACCCATAAACATGTGTACAAGGGAGTAAAAGGCGGGAACGCGCGACAGTTCGGCGAATTTAAGGAGGAAATACAAATTGACGGGATTAAGGAGCTGACGACCGATCGTTCGCAGGGCACCGAACGACGCAGACGTCGTCGAGGGGGGCTGAGGGACGACGACGACGACGACGACGACGACGGGATTCTCGAAACGTTCAACGCGCGGGGCACGTTTTACAAGCCCGTTGACAAGCTGTACAGACGTAACTGGCTTCGCGGCCGGAGACTGCACTTAGCCAGTCGGCAGTTTAAACGGAGCTAAAGAGTTTACGACTGTCGGCGGTAACTCTCGTGTAATTCTACGGTAAGGTTCAATAAACAGGCACGCACGTTTCTTCGCGCGACCCCGTACCTCTTTTCTGCCTGGCGGCGCGGCGCGCGGAGATGCTCTTCGCGAGGATTACGCTGGACGACCGCGTGCATCCTCATCCGGCGAATTCGTGTTCGCCGAAACGCACCTTGTACACGGGAAATTAAATTTTGTCGCCCGAGAATTAAGGCAGATGGCAAGAGTATCCGACGAGATGCACGGAAACTTGGAATTTCTCGGGCAACTTTTGACAGTGGGGCGAGTGTTGGTATTACTGCGGTTTTGATAGGCGAACTTTGACGGAGGAAATAGTACATTTTACGCCAATTAATCGACGATTCGAGATCAAAAAGTAAGGTGAATTTGTTTATAAAATGTAAATTCTTTATTTATTCTTCCAAATCAATTTCATCCCCTTCAAAGTAATCCCCGTCCGATAAAACGCACTGTTTCCAACGCTTTTTCCAGTTCTCGAAACAATCGGAATAGTCTTTTTCCGGTATAGCCTTCAAGACCTTCTTCGATTCGGTTTTTATCTCCTCAATCGTGTCAAAACGGAGTCTCCGCATTGGCCTTTTGAGTTTGCTGAATAGCCAGAAGTCGCGCGGAGCCAAATTAGGCGAATACGGTGGTTGCGGAACGATATGAGTCGAGTTTTTGGCAAAAAAGTCGCGAAGAACCAATGCAGTATGACATGATGCATTATTGTGATGAAGGAACCAAGAGTTGTTCGCTCATAATTCCGGCCGTTTCAGACGAATAGCTTCGCGCAAACGACGCATACCACTCAAATAATATTCTTTGTTGACAGTTTGGCCCGGCGGAAGGAATTCATAGTGCACCACACCACGATAATCAAAGAAAACTGTCAACATAACCTTGATTTTCGATCGACTTTGCCGTGGTCTTTTCGGTCTTGCTTCACCTTTTGCACGATATTCGCTGGATTGGTCGGTGGTTTCAGGGTCGTATGCGTAAATCCAAGTCTCGTCTCCAGTAATGATGCATTTCAAGTGGTCCTGTTAGTCAGACAGCAAAGTTTCACACACATCAACGCGACGCTTTTTTTCCAAAAAATTGAGCGATTTTGGCACCAATCGAGACTTGACGCGTTTGAGACACAAAACATCCTTCAAAATGGTTTGGGCTGAGCCAAATGATATTCCAACACCATCAGCGAGGTCTCTCATTGTCAATCGACGATTTTCAAGCACCAAATCTTCGATATTTTGGACGTGGCCCTCGTTGGTAGACGTTGATGGTCGTTCAGAGCGCGGTTCGTCTTCAACGCGTTCTCGGCCCGCTTTGAACTCGTTGTACCACTTATAAACGTTTTTTTGTGCCATAGTTTGATCACCAATGGCCTTCCGCAACATTTTCAACGTGTCTGTACAAGAACATTCGTTCCGCAAACAAAATTTGATGCAAGTTCTTTGCTCAACAAAATCACCCATTGTAAAAATCGAAACCTGCCTTCCTAATGTCCGGGAGTTTTAAATGACAATTTCACCTTACTTTTTGATCACAGTAGTATGTATAATCTTCCTATTATGATGATTCGAGCTACGTATAATAGGAAATTATTATTAATTTTTGAAGCGGAGCGCCTGAGATAAAGGAAGTCTTATTTCGAGCGGAAAAGATTACATGTCCTCGCAAATGCATTTAATTTTATTTATTTTATAAATATACATTTTCCTATTGTAAACAAATGATAAATTTTAAATTTTGTAATTCACCATGGCGCGATATCTTTGGTAACAATCTCCCATGTGCATTCTGGGTTTACTTGGACAAGTGTCGCAGTATTCGCTTTGCCAAATAGAGTTACTAGATATTTCTTTCAAGTTTAGAACATTTTCTGCGTAATCGTTGGTTTCCTTTATAATTTCATTTACCAATTCGTCCGTGAGAAATAATTTAAAATATTGTATTGGGTGTTCAATGTTTGTAGGAACTTGTGGTCCAATGATCTGTGGCAATACACTAAAAGGTATTCTATCTGGAATATGTAATTCCTCCGTAACATCACGCCATTCGTCTAAGTCTTGCAACGAATCTTCGTCTTCGCTTTCAATAATTCTCATTCTTCGTCTCTTTGGTAGTATAATTTCGCTACTACTACTCGAAGTGTCGGAATCATAACCAACATTGTCTTCCACAATGTCTTTTAACTCTTCAAAATCAAATACGT